AGAGTTAAAGAGAAAGGTCATTGTTTAATATACACAAATTAAAGTCTAAAGAACAATTCAAAAATCCCTAGAAAGAGAGATCTCATAAAATTTACCGATGATCATTCAATTTTAAGTTTAATACGCAAAAAAATATCTTTTATCACGTAAAAAACATCTAGTTTTAGTCAAATTAACTAAAGTAGTAATTTTTACTTACATTTTAATATATATTTTGACTTATAACACAAGAGAAGATGGAGTTAGATAACAATATACGATTCACTCAAATTCAGCAACTTTAACTTTTAAGTAAATATAACATGTATACAATTTAAAATGTTCTAATTTGATTACTTATACATGAATTTGAATCATAATAATGTTCATATAGTAACTTTGTTAGCTCAATATGTAGGCAAAAAAGTATACTACTAATTAAAAAACTATAGGATATAAAATAATATGAGAGGACTAAACGAGTGATTTTATGAGTGAAAATAGGAGTGAAAGGACAAGGTAGTTTCGTCTTGTAGGAGAAATAAACAACAAGTCGGTGACGCCCAGCTGTTCAACTGCCCAACTGCTTCTCTCCTTTTTCTAACAATCCATTAAACTATTTAATCAGAAATCTCAAATTTAAACTATACGGATAAAAAATTTTGTATTCGAATTATGAACATAAGGATAATCTTGTCAAGAACATCGATTCTAAATTTTGATATTGTAATTTGTAATGTGTGATAACATATTATATTGTGTGATAATATGAATATCGAATATTGAATAACATATTATACAATTATTGAAAGGTTAATTTTCTGACAGGTGGACGGCTCTACCTCATTCCTTTCGGTTCAGATTTGCAAACGTGCGTCTTCTATTTCATCAATCTGTTGTGCAATGCAGCTATTATTAATTCATTTATCAAATGGAATAAGATTTAATTAATAAATATCCTTTTAACATATTGAGAAATGATTCAAAGATGTCAATTTTTTCATATATTAAATTAAATTTATCCTTAATTCTACATATTAGATTGAAAATATACATCATTAATATATTGAAAATGACTTAAAAGTGTCCCCCTTCTACCCCAACTAGTCCAGAGGGTGGTTCCTCGAGCTTGTACCAACAGTACAAAGAAATTTCTATACTCCTCATGGGTGCACTACTAAGTGGAGTATTAATTATATCTTAGTTTTTATCAGTTTCTCAAAAAAAAAATATATATATATAAATATTTTTTTTTGAAGTTAATGAGTGCATGCAGAGGTGGACCCACACCATTAGGAGGGGTGCACGTGCGCTGCTAACTTTGGAAAAAATTGTGTATAGATATGTATGTCTATTTTGAGAAACTGATAGAAACTAGAATATATAGTAAACAGTGCACCCATGAAAATTATAGTAGTACCCTTGTAATACAATCTAGAGAAACCATCCGTGAGACTAGGATTCAAATCCAATTAAAGTTCTTTTTCATTATTTTTATTTTATGTTTCGCTTGGCTCATATTTAAGCTAAGATAATATTGATACACCTAAAATTTTCAAATCTTGAGTTCGCCTCGTAATTGTTGGTGGTACGCACATGAATTGAACGAGTAGGAGGGAAACCATAATTTTCCCCAGACAAAACCGAAGGTGAAAAGTCAAAGGAATTCAGACTTCGAATCACGTGAGATTCTTTTCCAGGCTGTAAAGTGGGGTCCAGTCCTACGTGGACTTACTTGAAGTCATCCTTAAGCTCCTTAAATTAATTGGTTGATTTCACTAATCAATTAATCTGAACCGTTGATTTATACAAGATAGATCTGGATTTGGATTCCCAGCTGTTAATTCTGAAAAGTTAGTCAAAAAGTCGTAACCCCACTTGACATTTTCAATCAACTTTTTAATTTTTAAAACAAATGTTTAATTACTAATAATAGAATTATTTTTACCATTTATAAAACGGCGTTAGACTGATTATGATACTAATAAAACATAATTATGTTAATGTTGATTATGATAAAACAGCTAGCTAATTCGGCTTTACTGTCTCTCATGTTTTAAACGCTCCCTTGTTTTATGTAAAAAAATGTCTACCTACCTAGCTAGTACGAGAATGATTGATACATTGCCTTTTCCTTTATTTCCATATTTGCCCTTTCTCGTCAGAAAAAAAAACTTCTTTATATTTTGAATCTACAAAGTTTTGTACGTCCGACTGTTCGTTGTACTGATTGAGTGATAATACAAAAATGTTCTTTTGCTATGATGTAAATGGTTTAAATTGGTCTAACAAATATTTCAACGAAGAGGTACAAGGTATATCAATCAATATATATAAATGACTAAGTGTCACTATTGTCATGTGATCGTAAGACTTTTTCAATGGATATTTTCTATTTACCTTACGATTGGATTAGATAGTTGCAAGTATTGCCTCGTAGAAATAGGTGTTGGTGAATTATTTATCTATATTTCATCCAGCGGATGGGGCTAACTAAGGTGTAGGCTATGGGTTCGTCCGAACCCAATGATTTTAGTTCAAACTTTATAATATTTTTCTTAAAAATTCATTGAATATATAACTTATTAATTTAGAATTCAATAACTTAAAATGATTAGTATTAACAATACATAAGATTTAAATTCTGATTCTAGCTCTGATTTCACCCAAGTATTGATGGAAAAATTTGTTTGGAAGAGGTATAAGCTATATCAATAAATGGTTATTATTGTCACGTCCTACTAAGACTTTTTTCAATATATAAATCTATTTACATTTTTACCTCTTACAATGAGCGTCTAAATGATTAGATCAAATTGTCACAAGTAACTTGATCATCTTACATGTCATTGAAACATAAGTTGAAAATGTATCGACCTATATTTCATTCAAGTATTGATCTATAAAATCTAGAATTTTGTAATAAAGCTAAAAATAGAGGTTACAATGCTCTATTTTAGGAAAAAATAAGAGTGAAACAAATAGAAAAAACATAAAATCCTTATTTTAGTCGATGATATATATATATTAAACACAAATTGTCTACCTTCATCAACTCTGAATAATAAATAAAATAAAAACAAAATAAAATATTATATCAAAATGACTTCAAGAATCTTATAATCGTAGACCGACAATTTTGTTATTGTTAAATTGTTTAGATTAGGTTATAAAAATATTGAGAAGGAGTTTTTGCTTTCGTGAAGTAATAAAATGTAGTTCTAAGTAATTAATAAAGGAAACCATGTGAGATAACTTTAGGATTAATTGTGACTGATGTACCAATGTTGATCCTTTTTGTGATTCTTTTATGAACTTTGTACCAATGTTGTTGTACGGAAGTTGTACAAAAAAAGAAAATCGTTAATTAAAGATCCCAACGATTCATTTATGAATCTGGACTATAAGACAAAACAGAATGCAGTGAAATTGAAGCAATAGTACTTAAAAAGCTTCAATAATAACACTAAATTCAATGTATCCACAATTCCTCTTATTTTCTTAGACCTAATTTAATAGTATTAGATATAGTAATTTGTCTTCCTTCCCCTAGATTATTGGATATCCAAATTTGTCAAATTAATCTACGTAATAACGACAAAAAATCACCAGCTGCGACAAATCTGTTTTATATCACATTTAATATATGCCTCTCGAGTACGTGCTTAACAACGGATGGTTATTCATTCATTTTTAATTATCGATTTTGAGTAGGTGGTCATCATTTTTTATCCTAACTTTTTGGAATCGTTTGGTGTGAAATATAGGATAATAATTTCATGATAAAATGCACAATTATTTTATTCTGTATTTGGTTGGAGGTATTACGTAGTTTTGAGATTATTTATCCCACCATTTATGCCTTAGTAATGAAATAAGTTATATTATATACATGATGGAATAACTTATCCGTGAATATAATTAATCTCAAGATAACTTGTTCTCAACAAAACGACCTCTTAATGTCATAATCACCCTTAATGACCATTCGACTTTATGTTTTACAATATTACTGTCTCACTATTATGATATTTAATCTATTCATCACTAATTTCCACACTTGTAAGCAACTTTCTTTGAATAGATAGAGAAAAGGATGAGATGGAAAAATATTAGTGAAATTGGTATAGTGAAAGAATGAGTTGATAATAAAAAAGAAAAAGTGATTTCAAGGCACCGAATTTTTTACTATATATAAAAAAGAAAATTATATGGACTAAAATTGTTCTTTCGGTGAAGTTTAGAATCTTCCATTGTAATTTAGAATGGTTTGAGCTATTAGATGTTGTTGAAAGGGACAAGAGTTATATTGTTAAATTGGAATCGTTGTAAACATAAATTTCCTTAAAAAAAGTGAGATATCTACCATCAACCTAAATATTTATTTTAAGGAAAAAAGATAAATATACCCCTGAATTATCTTAAATGATAATCAAACACCCTTCGTCATATTTTTGGGACATTGGTGCCCCTGTCGTCCAAAAACTAGAGCATAAATACCCTTTATACTAACTGACATACACGTGTCATAATCTTATCCACCGATTCGACATCGGATCAATGGATAAGATTGCGCCACATGTCTCTATTTAGTACTCCGTTAGAGTGAAGGACATATATGCTTTGATTTAGGAGTACCAATGTCCAATAAGTATGACGGAAGGTATCTGCATATCATTTATCGATGATATATTTTTCTTTTTTCTCTTTATTTTATTATTCAACGGTAATTTATGATATATTTACCAAAAATATGAGATAAGCACAAACACCAAATAATAAGAAAAAGAGAAAACAGCTGGTTTGCAGATGTAGGCACCCTTTTTAGTTTTATACAAGTTATATAACCCCTACCAACTTTACACAAGGCACTTTCCAAGAACCACCCCTTCACCACAGTCCAAAAAACCTCTAATTGTACCTAAAATGGCTAAAAAATAAAGGCATTTTCTTATGTTCATGCATTTCTGCCTCACATAAATCTCTATATATACACCCTTTACATCACTTAACCCCACTTAACTCACTAAACTAAACATCATTATTCATCTTCTATCTCCATTTTCAAAAAAAAATTACATTATTTTTTCTGAAATGGATTTTTTTAACAGATGTTCAACTTCATCTTCTTCTTCCGAATCATCTTCATCAGAATCTTCGCTTTCTGGTAAAAACCCTAATAAATCTGAAAGAATAAAGGGGCCATGGAGCGCTGAAGAAGATAAGATTTTAACGAAACTTGTTGAGCGTTACGGAGCTCGGAATTGGTCTTTGATTAGTAAATACATAAAAGGTAGGTCCGGAAAATCCTGCCGGCTCCGGTGGTGTAATCAGTTAAGTCCTAATGTTGAACACCGGCCATTTTCTCCGGCGGAGGATGAAGCTATTTTAGCTGCTCATGCTAAATATGGGAACCGATGGGCAACCATTGCCCGATTACTTCCGGGTCGGACTGATAATGCGGTTAAAAATCACTGGAATTCGACATTAAAGAGGCGTTATCAGCAATTAATTCAGCAGCAAAATCAGAACCCGATTGGGTTTTCTGATGTGAAAATTAATGGGTCAGGATCCGGATCTGGATTCGGGTCGTGTATGGAGTATTTAAATGCTGATGAGAGTCCAAAAGGCAATAGCAATAATAATAATAATAATTACGCTGTTACGAATAATTGTAGCGGTGAATTTGATGATCCGATGACGACTTTGTCACTTGCGCCGCCGGGAATGGGCGGAGATGAGTTGCCGGAGAAGAAAACGGAGAGTTTTCCGGAGGGATTTTGGGATGTGATGAGAGGTGTTATTGCTAGAGAAGTGAGAGAATATGTTGCTTCTACGGGGTTTCCTAATTGAAAAACAAAAAGAAAAAAAATGTTTATTATATTAATTTGTCAATTTTAAAGTTGGGCTTTTAAGCTTTGATAATCACTTTTGATTGTTGATAAGTATGCTTATAAATTGATTAATAACATGTTAAATATGTATTGGAAGCTTAGTCTTGAATTCCATCCTTCTTAATTGTTTTTAAGAACTATTTTATTTGCTTGCCTAATATGTTTGTCTTTATAAGGGGTACCAAACGACCAAATTCCCAATAATATGTGTTTGGACGTGTAAGAGAGAATAATTTCTATTCAATTTATTAAAAAAATTTGGGACCTAACTAATTTATTATTGAATAAGCAACATTCAGTAAAAATAAACAATTCGATACACTAAATTTTTCTGATGAATCAGAAAAGAATCAATACATAGCCTTAATCTGTACTTATGTAACAAAAGAATAAATACTTTGTAATCTTCGAGTCATATGATATGTACTTTACTAATTACGTTGAATCGTCCTTTGAAATGCTTGCCAGCATTAGTCCAAAATAAATTAGGGGTTTGGTTGTTGAATTTTTTGTTGTTCATCTTGTATTCCTAAGATACTTAGAACAAAACTTTGAAGAACTTGGTAAGAAACAACAAGTTTAAAGAGTATTTTTAAACTAGAAAATTAAAACTAGTAGAGAAAATAAAATCAGAAACAGATTAGAAACAATATAAAAATATTTTTTCTCAAAGAAAGAAAATCGAGCTTACTTAATGCACAGTGTCCCCTTAATGAAATCATTCCCCTCAATTACCCGAGGTTATTGGAATATATCCTCCCAGGATAGAACGATCTTACTCATCGGTGTATCGGTATCTAAAATCACAGTGTCAGCGAACCACTCAACAACAGTAAAGTACACCTAGGGGTCGTTTGGTAGAGTGTATAAGAATAATGCTAAATGAAGTGTATTAGTAATGCTTGCATTAACAATGCATGTATTAGTTATGCTTGCATTAGTTATACATAAATTATTTTTATGCATTGTTTGCTTTGATGCATAAAAAAAAAGTAAATCACTGCATAAAAAAATAATTTACAAAGATATTTTTCACTACTATGGTAGAAAGGATGTAAAAAAGGTTTTGAGGGGCAATTGAGTCTTTAATCATTTTAATGCATGCATTAAAACCATTGCATTGTTAATACCTAGAAATCCTTGGTATTAGCAATACACACTTTAATACACAATAGAGTGTATAACTAATGCTTTCATTAGTTATACATAGGTTGGAAAAGACTACCAAACAAAGTACTAGTAATACACGAGGCTAATACATGCATATTTAGGATTTGGACAATGTGAGTTTCTAAGTTCAAAGTAAGTGTTTAAAATTGAACAGGCAAATTTATATCCACCACTTATTATCCAATTACTAATTGGGTGATTATACAAGTTATAAATCTCTAAAATTCAATAAAGTCAAACTTCTAAGCTTCTATTTTTGCTAGAACATCCCCTCTTATATCGAATGTACATCTAGTTGTCAATAATCTTTATTTCATTAGTTGTTATTACATCGAGTTTTAATTCTAAAAAATAAGTTGGGACCTCTAACTAAGTCCACAAAGTAATAGAAAATAATAGAAGGTTAACTATTGTCTTTCACAAGACGTGTCGCTGTTTCACTTTGAGTTTCTTCCTTTATAGGTAAAACTGATGATACACTATAACGATAAAAAAAAAAAGACCTTATTTGTTGCAATACAATTTAAAATAAAAGGAATTCAATGGATTTCTCCTACCTATATGGTCAACTATATTTCTCGCGAGGCTTTAGATTAGTAAAAATTTATTTGTACATGACATTTACATCAAATCATATAAATCACTATAGTTACAATATAATTACACAAGGAAAAGTGGGACAAAGAAAAAGATAGGAATATACAAAATATTTTCATGTTTTGTCTTTTTATTTTGGAAACAAAGTGTGTTAGAGGGAATGTTCCTACTAGTTGCTACTTTACATATTTTGGTTAAAGGAAAAAAACATGATCCATATTTTGAACGTGCTAGAGTCTGTTGTTCATGTGAACGCGTTTTTTTTTGGTAGCTTTACAACAGCAAATAACTAACCCATAGATAAAGTAGCAAAAGAATAAAATTGTCTGTCTTTTTCTCTAGAAAAATAATGAAAATCACGCATTCAAAGATATTATTATAAATTCATTACTTTTAAAATCACAAATAGATAAATAAATATTTTGAATGATATCTTGTATAGCCACGTCCAAGAAGTATCTAATACTAGTACTCCTATAACTAATTCCACATACAACTACTTTCTGTTACAGTTCTAATTTTTTTTGAAATTCAAATTCTCTTATGTAAGGTTATTTCTTCGATAATTTGAAAGGTAAATCACATTTTTTCAAATATTTCTTCGATTGACCTCTATCACTCTTCAGTCTCATCATAGTTAACCTCTAAGTGATGTGAGTATTTGTGCATCTCCTTTTTACATGTTTAAATCATCTCAGTCTCGTTTCCCTCATCTTGTTCACCATAAATGACATTTCTATTTTTTCCGGAATATCTTCGTTCCTAATACTATCACTACTCATTTCTTACACACAGAGGCGAAATCAAAATTTTAATCTTATGAGTTCTGAATTTTATAATGACGATTAAATAAATGGATTCTAAACTTAATATTTGTACCTATTTAGTAAACTTCTTAATATAAATACACTATTTAAATAAAAATTACTGAATTCGACTGAATCCGTATATGATGTTCTAGCTCCACTTCTGCTCACACATTCATTCCAACATTCTCATTTATGCTACTTTTTTCCAATACCTTGCCCATTCAAATATCATCTAAAACGGACGTATTTTGTTGTACGTGATTTACGTCCTAAAAATTCGTAACAGATTAGAATTTATAGCAACAAATTAACCAGCGGATTTTGTTCATAATAACTGTTATTTATAGCGAAATCAGCAGGGATTAGGGTTTACATTATACCTTTCAACTTTCTTCCCTACCGATCAACAAATCCATGACGAAACGAAAAGAAGAGAAAATTGATTATTGCCCACAAGTCACAAGTCGAATTATTCTAAAGGAGATTCAAAAAGAGCTTAAAAAAACCAAAAATTCGAATACTAACATACTGCTCTCTCCATTATCTTTCCACGCCGTACTGAACATGACGGCCGTCGGAGCAAGGGGCGATACATTGGATCAGATGCTTCGATTTCTCGGTGTTCGTGACATTAATGATTTAAATTCCAAATTCTTAAACATGGCTACTGTTATTGAGAGCAATAGTAATGGTGGCCCTGATTTGAGTTTTCTTAATGGAATGTGGGTCGCTCATACGCATGAAATCAGAGATTCTTTCAAACATTTAGCCACTACTCTCTATAAAATTGAGCCTAAAATTGTTGATTTTAAACTCAAGGTACACGCTCTGTTCAATTTCGTTGTTGTTACTGTTTTCTTTTTCCTGTTATTGTTACTGTTCTTTTTTCTAAATATTGTATGCTTTATTAGTTCACATATTCTTCATTGTTGTATTTACTTTCTCATATTACTTTGATGCACTTGAGTCATAGAGGTAGAAATAAGTTTTGTGTACATTTCTCTTACCGGAACACACTTTTGAAATTATATTGTTGTGGTCATTATGGGATATAAACTAAATTGAATATATTGTTGTGGTCATTATGGGATATAAACTAAATTCAAGTACTCAATATCCAATTTTCTTAAAAGATTTGAAGAAATGTGAAATATTTATTTTTATTGGTGTTTAGTTGAAAAATAGTTCTTGAACAAGTTAACCAAATTTTAGAAGTACTGAATTACAAATGTCACTTTTATTTTTCCTGGTTCTCGTTGGTGACTCTGGATACCGAGGCGAATTCAGGATTTGAACTTATAAATTTCATTGAATCACCAATGATGTGTTCGTTATTATTGGAACTCGATCATGTCTCTGTAGACTTTGTGAAATCTATTGCTTCTTTAGTCTCTGGATCATCATAGACATTATTTAAACAAACTAATAGTAAGAGCTAGCTGAATCATCCTTCCTTTAATTGGAACTAGTAGTCCGTTTTCAGTGGAAGACAGAGCCTAATTAGACTACCGTCTTCTTATGATGGTGCACCTCGGGTGTTCCTCATGTACTTCGTGTCCTTCCATCACTATTATCTGGTGTCTTTGCCTACCAAAGATTATTCAATGGAGAAGATTGCTGGAATTTGAACTGTGTACTTTTAACACATGTTACTCTGCAATTTATTTCTAGTACAATGCAGAACTCCATAAATATTTGAGTTTTGTATTATTCTGCAGCAAGCGGTGGTAAAAGATGTTAATACTTGGGCAGAGTCTGCATCGAAAGGACTTATAAAAGATATTCTAAAGCCCAACAACATCAGAGATACAACAAAGGTCCTTTTAGCGAATGCCCTCTACTTTAAAGGTACGTGGAATTTTAATGAAGAACGCACCATAGACAAAGACTTTTACCTACTCAATGGTGACAAGATTTCAGTTCCCTTCATGACTGGCTGCGACAAATTCACCTATGGATCATTTGAAGGCTATCAAGTTGCTAAAATTCCATATGAAATTGGGAAAAATGGCGATAACAAAGAGTTCTCGATGTCTATCTTCCTTCCAAATGAAAAAAATGGATTGCCTAGCTTATTGGAAAAAGTGAATTCTGATCCAAAATTCTTTACCCAAAAATTCAACCTTTGGTCTGCATCACTTGATGCATTCTACATCCCAAAGTTCAAATTCACATACACTGCGATGAAACAAGTTGTAAGAACAATGAAGGAAATGGGATTGACACTGCCTTTCAGTAAAGAATGCAGGGAGATCACAGAGATCGTGAAACCGGATGGGCCATTCTTTGTCAATGGCATAATACAAAAAGCATTTATCGAAGTAAACGAGAAGGGTACTGAGGCAGCAGCTGTTACTGTGTTGTCCGATGATGACATGGGATGTTCGATGTATGAACCCCCTAGGCCAAGATTTGTAGCAGATCACCCTTTCTTGTTCATGGTTAGGGAAGAGGTTTCAAGATTGGTGCTTTTCACTGGAGCTGTACTAAATCCATCAAATGATCATTCAGATGCTATTTCATCA